TACTAGGGTTGATTAACACTTTATTCTATCCATTTTATTTCAATTAGTTTAATTAATCAATTTAATTATTCAAGTAGGGAAAACAATTCCCTTAAATCACTAAAAGCTCTTCCGATGCTACTAGGGGTTTTGATTTCACTTAATTCTATCTTCCAATGTATTGTTAGCTATTCTAATCTAGTCTAATTACCTATCTTCCAATAGTGAAATCAAACATAAATTAAATCTTTGAGTTTTATGGTTGTTTATGAGTTCATAACCTAAGATCATTAACTAATGAAAACCCCCCTTGAGTCAAACCATATAGCTTCCGCGTCAAGTTATTATTCTCAAGTAATTTATTATCTTTTTCATGTCAAGAACCCTTCTTCCGATAGTGATTATTGAAATAATTCAATCCAGGGGAAAAATTCTGCCTGGAAGCTTTAAGCACAATAATAAATTATAACAAGAACAATGATTGAAATAAATCAATCCAGGGGAAACCTCTGTCTGGAAGCATTAAGTTTATCAATAAATCATAACTTGAATAAGGAAAAATAAATCTAATGACATAAATTGGAAAAGAGATTAAGCTACATCAAACCCCTAGTATAAGAGTTTAGTTAGACATGGCACTTAAATAAAACCCAATAATGCTTGATAAGTATTTCATAATCAATTAAGAATAATGAAAGAAATAAACAAGATTAAGAGTTTAGAAATAAGAACTAGTAACAATTGGCTTGAATGGCTTCCTTGAACCTTTGCACAACTCTTGAATACTTAACTTCTAAAGAACATAAAATTATATACAAAGTTATAAGATATGAGAGATGGGAGAAGAGATATGGGATGGAATGGGATGGCTTCCTTCTCTTCTTTATATAGACTTCTTGGGAGAGCAATCCATACAGTTTAATGAATAAAGTCTAACTTTGTTAGGTGAAAAATCTCTAAAGCAAGCCATAAATTTCTCTCAATTATGGCTCCCCATGTGCATATGTTAAAGCTTTGACTGACATGTGAAGAAAGTATCCAAAGTAAGCTGTGAAAATGGTAGGAATTGGTTGGCAATCTTGACTAGGATAAACTTTTATTCTTTTAGCACGGGCGTGCTGAATGGCACGGTCTGGGCGTACCAGGCTCTGGAAGTCTGGATGACTCAGCACGGGCCGTGCTGTCTAGCACGCTTGAGGAGGGTCTTTTGGCACGGCCGTGCGCCATAGCACGGCCTGGGCATGCTAGGCTCTGGAAGTCTGGAGCCATATGTAGCACGGGCGTGCTTCAGCGGGCACAGGCCAGGATTGCACCTTCAATGCGGGCACAGGCGTGCGGCTTAGCACGGGCTGGGGCGTGCGCGCCTCTGACTCTTTGCTATTTTTCCTTGGTTCTTAGCACGGGCGTGCAGATTAGCACGGGCTGGCCGTGCTAAAATGATTTTTGCCTCATTTTTGTCCTTTTTCTTGCAAAATCCTACAATTTCTCTCAAGATCAAGTGAGTTGTGTTTCAAGGAAGCTTTTAAATAAAAACATAATTGTATTAAATAAAAATCAATTTAAATAAATAAAAAGTACTAAAAATCTTAATAAAAATTACATAAAATTTACTATAAAATTAACACTATCAGTTAACAAACATCCATTAATGTTTTAAATTGCTATTAAAGGACTGGGTTGCAAAATAAGCATTCTAAACCGTCATTCTGTATTGTCATTCTTGCACTAATTAAAAACTTCTACTCAATGTTTGATTATCTCCAATATCTCATGCTACATTAAATGAATCGTTGTAAACAAGCTACTCTTTTTGTTCCACTTTAATTGTAACATTTGATATTTTCACAAGGATTAAAAAAAATGATTGGAAAACATTGATTATCTAAAAATATATGGTAGAATGTCTAAATTTTTTTTTTTTTTTTTTAATAAAAGCTACCCATTTAAGTTTGCTACAAACCACCTAATAAATATGTGTGAACTTGAAAAAACAAATAATGTACCCTCAAAATTCTAAATGAGCACTTAAATGAAACAAGGTAAAATGCTCATTTGCAACTATTAAAGTGGAATGGAGGAAGTAATTAAATAATAAGGATGATGACATGATTCCTGGTAAAAATGTCTCATATTAGCTTCACTAAATGTTCATTATAAAGGAGTTAAAATAATAAGGATGGCATGATTCATGGTAAAAATATGCAATTAGTCATAGAGGTAGTATTACACTACGCATGTGTAATATATTACTATGTTGGTCCCATTTCCTCACTTTAAAATTTTATTTAAAAATATATTTATTTCAATATTAACTATCTATTTTATTTTAAAAATATATTTTATTTCCAATATTAACATCTAGTAATATTAGTTTTATTAATTTAAAATTTTAAAACCTCGTAAATTAATAAATAACAATTTAGATAAATTAAATAGCCATTTTTTATTATTTTAAAATTTTAAACTCTAAAATTAATAAATAACAATTTAGATAAATTAATAGTCATTGGATCTAAGATTTTTTTTTTCTCTTTTTTCAATAGTAAACTCTTTAGAATTATGAGTAAAATACATTTAAAATTTACTAGTCTTTTTATGACGTGCGTTGCACGTTGAGTATGCTCGTTATATGCTCATTTTTTGTATTCTTTTAATTTTTTTCTCTATATAATATTAAAAGCATAAGTTTTCATTTAAATTAAAATAAATACAAATATTAATTTGTATTACACTTTGTCGTATTAGCTACTTGTAATGTCTTAATTATGTACTTAATTTTATTTTTATATAATGAAGTGGACTTAAATTGAATTGATAATGATAATCATTTTGCCTATAGTATATTAGAGAAATGTAAATTACATCAATTTAAGTAATGAAGATTACACATGTAATCTCAATTACATTACAATGTTAAAAAAAAAAAGTCTAACCAAACAATGTAATTAATCATGTAATGTAATTCTCATTCTATTACATTGTTGACTACACCATACCAAACATAGCTTTAGTGCTGTAGTTGATATACGTAATAGAACTAATCGTATGTCTGCACGTTGTGCGGATCAACACTTATAAATAATTGATACGAATTAAATTTGTTTGAAAAATATAAATAAATTAATATGATAAAAAAATTTGTCATTTTGCCTTTCTTTATTAATTAATATGATAACAAAAACTATTAATCCAACTTTTTCTATAAATTTAAAAACGATAAAAAAATTCCGCATTAATAAATTAAAAACAATAAAACTCACCTTCTTAGTTAAACTAAAAATAACAAACATAAATATTTCTTTTACAATTTAAACAATTACTCAAACCATAAAATTATCTGAATGAAAAAAAAAGAAATTTCATGAATCATAGACGTCTTTTAAAAATTTTTACAATTAATTTAATAGATGTAGTACTCATATATATAATACTCAAAAGGGAATTAACATTTTTTTTTTACTTTGAAATTATGGTTTATTATTAAGAAAAGAAACGAGCAATACAAGCGGGAGTATTATCCCAAGTTTGAAAACAAGCCCCAATAGGAATTGATTTAGCCAACACATGAGCTAGATCATTTGCTTGTCTTTTGATCCAAGCCAATGTGACATTAGGCAATTGGACTAAAAGAAGCTTACATTCAGATATGACAACTCCAAACTCAGACTAATCGTGGGCAGAACTCCTCATAGCGTGATAAACTTGTGGGCAATCGGTCTCAACCTGAATCGTCAGATTAGGATGACTCAACAGCACCCAGGATAATACCTTTCTTAGCACCTGAGCTTCTGCTACTGCTGGGGAAGAACAGCCTTGCAATGAAGATGTTATTGCTGATACAAACCCACCATGGCAGTTTGAGATGACAGCACCAACAGCTCCCTGGCTGACAGTGGGGAGAAGAGCGGCGTCAAAGTTTATTTTGAAAGTGCCAGGAGGTGGCGGAACCCATTGGTTACCTGTAGAAGTACCTATGCCTGTATCGAAACCTGATAACTTCAGCTGAGCTTTCTTCCAAGATGCGAGCATACTTCTAGCTCGAGTAACCACATAATAAGGTCTTTCATCCACTTGGTTCCATTTAGCTCATTACGACTCAACCAAACACTCCATAGACCCATAATAAAACTCTCAAAAAATTCGCTCTCCCACACCTTGTGTAAATGTTCGAACATCTGTAAGAAGTTTGGAAAATTGCCAATGTTAAGTTGAACACCAAAAAACTGCCAACAGAATCTTGCTTTTGGACACTCAACCAAAGCATGTGCTAATGTTTTAGGGTCACCACAGTAATCGCAAAAAAAATAATTAAATTATAAAATAATAGAATGTTACATTAAATATATAGTGTGTTTATTAATTATTAAAAAATAAATATTAGTTTTTTACTATTAATAAAAATATTTATTATTTGAATTATTAATTATTGCAAAAAAAAGAAATCAGGAATTTTTTATTAACGAAATAAATTTATTATATCATTGTTAATTATTAAATAAAAAAATAAAAAATTTTATAATTTATTTGATTTCTTCAAATTAAATAATTAAATAAAAATTTTAATATAACAAAATTTCACATCATCAACTAAATTTTTCAGTATCACATCATATAATTAAATTTGATTGGGGACTTTCTCAACACGGAATTTATATTAGATGGCTAACTGTAATTTTAATTCTTAACTTTCTCAACACGGAAACTGTACATTTTAATTTTCGTTTTCTCCGATCAAGCAATCGGTTCAAACTCCATCATCTTTTCTGATTTGCGTTCTCTCGATTATCTTCTCCTCATTGAATTTTCTTCAGAATTCTCTATTCTCTTCTCTTGAATTGGAATTCCGAGGAAGGTTGACGTCGCCGGTGGGATTTCCATTGAAGGTCAGTGTCTCCAGTGCAATTCTCATCCAGGCGATTTTCTTCTAGTTCAACTGCGTCGTTTTCTTCAAATTCTGAAGGCTGCCGCCGGTGTGGGCACATAGTCGGCAATCAAATTTTGTTGTCGGTTTGATTTAGTTCAACTGCGTCGTTTTCTTCAAATTCTGAAGGCTGCCGCCGGTGTGGGCACATAGTCGGCAATCAAATTTTGTTGTCGGTTTGATTTCTAATTTCCAGCCAGATTGTAATTGTTATTGAAGTAGCAAATAGAGATTGAAATCATTGAAAATTTGATAAAAAAATTGTAATTTCTGATATTCTATCGCGATGGGCATTCATTATAAGTTCATGAGTGCAAAAGATTACAATTCAATTCCATTAGGTAATGCTTTTATCTCTGTTCTTTTGTTGAAAAGGAAAATTGTTGAATTGAATTATAAATCAAAAAATAAATCTGATTCTAATGGCTTGTGTTTGGGCACTGATTTTGATCTCTTATTAATTAATGCTAAAACTAATGAAGAATATACTGATGATTCAATGTTAATTCCTAATAATTCCACTGTCTTGATTCGCCGTCTTCCTGGAACTCGGCATCGTAAGCCTATTGACGCTTCACCTATTCTTTTTGTTGAAAAACAGCAGCCAAAACGTGCCTGTGATAAGAAAACTGCTTCTGCTTCTTCTGGTACTTCTAGTGCTGGCTCTGCAAGTATTATTACTGATAATACTGGTTCTGCTAGTACTAGTAGTATTGGTTCAGGCATTAATGATTCTGGTTCTAGTAGTAATATTGGTTTGTATAGGAGTATGAATGTCTCTGTCACTGCTGCTGCTACCAATTCTAGTTCTGGTTTTGTTTCTCGAATGACAAAATCTACTCAGGACTCTAGATTATTTGATAATGGTTTGTGTCCGATACCTGGTATGGGGTCTAGCACGAATCTGGGTGAATTGGATGATGAGGATAGAAAGATTAAAATTCTAGTCAATACTCCGGCATTGCCCGGTTTGGGACTTGGGAGCGAAAGTGTTGGGGTTGGCAGAGTTGTCCGAAGAATGGGTGGTTATGGTTTTTGTGGTAGATTGGAGAAGAAAACACCTCCTGAAGGCTATGTATGTCGCAGGTGTAGATTTCCAGGGCATTTTATTCAGCACTGCCCTACTAATGGTGATCCAGATTATGATTTTAAAAGAATGAGGCCTCCTAGTGGTATTTCCAAGTCGATGCTGATGGCAAATCCAGATGGCCGTTCTGAATTGTTGAGTGTTGCTGCTGCTTGTACTGGTGTTTTGCAGACAAATGAGAAAGAAATGGAATGCTCAAGTTTGAAGAGAGCACGGCTTTTTACTGATATTCCGGAAGAACTTCTCTGTCCTCTGTGTAAGCAAGTAATGAAATATGCTGTTCTAACAAGTAAATGTTGTTTCAAGAGCTTTTGTGATAAATGTATTAGGGATCATCTACTTCTTTCTAAGCTGAACTGTGTTTGTGGAGCAACAGAAATGCTTACAGATTATCTTATTCCGAATATAACTGTTCGGAATACCATTAATCGCTTTTTAGAGTCTGGTTCTGGTAGTAGCAGTAGCCGTGAAAGTGCTAAAAGCAATTCTGTTCAAATTGAGAACAAGCAATCAGCTTATTGTTGTTCAACAATTCTATCTGCTGAATCATCTGAGAAAGAGCAAAGACAATCCGACTCGACACAACAATCTGCTAAGACAGCCGATGAAGAAGTCCAGCAAAAGACAGTTTCTAATGTGATAGCAAAGAAGAAGAGAAAGAGGAAAGCTTCTGAAAATGCAGAGGTTGTAAGCCATATGATGCCAGATGGCCCTTATGCCTATAATCCATATTGGGATGCTATGCAAGCAAGAATGGGAGGATATATGGTTCCTTATGGTGTTGGTGATATGACATATGGTGGTTGGTGATGTGACAATATGGATTGAGCCCTTTTGGCAAGATGCCCATTCCAACACTTTAAGTAGATTTTTGAAAGCCATTCCATTTTATTTCTTTTCCATTCGTTTTTAGTTCTTAGCATTTTCTAGGTTATCTGGATTCTCTGTAATTGTTGTTTTACCACCTTCAATGAAATTCCAATTTTCCTCCAAAAAGCCTTTGGCATTGCAACTAATTCATTGCTAGGCTTTAATTTCTTTCTTATATGCTTTTTTTTATATATATATCGCAAACTCATAAATTCACGTCAAGTCTGATCTTAATTTATAATAGTTTATTTCCGCATTCCACTATTTCTTATAGGAAGAGGAAAATTCAAATAACCACACACAAACTGACAATTGCCTATGGCATTCAAAGCACTAGCTGATTGATGGCCTATAGGTCAAGGAAACACTCCACTTGAGGTTGGTGCTCTTGGGTTTTGTAAGGTTGTAAAATTAAATTTAATTATGAGGGAAAAAAAATATATTTTTTAATGAATTGTGTGAATGTATATATGGGGCAAAATTCAATTTGGACCCCAAATTATACCCATTTTGTCAAGTGAGGTCTCATGTCCTTATTGGATTTATTGCATCTAATTAAAATCTTAAATTATAATTTTGAGTTAATTAGAGAAAATTATTAATGGAAACTAACAAAATTGGTAATAATTTTTTTTTTTTTTTTTTGGATAGAAATGAGGATTGGAACGCCTGAAGAAAAGAACACAACTAAAAAAAGAATGAATCAAGCTGCCAAAAGGGTGAGATGAAATGATAAGGATTCCCACTTTCCTAACAGAGATCTCGAGTTTGAACTATCGGTATGAAGTAACTTTAAAACTTGGTAGGGAGCACTTTACCCCTTCACAGGTCACACCTTGCGTATTTAACCTATTGTAGAAAATCACATAATTTCTCCAACACCAAATTTACCAACATGTGACACAAAATTTGCGATGCCCATTCCAATAACTAGTGCATTCAGTTTCGTGGCTTAATACTCATGTCGTATAATCCTGTCGGGTGAAACGAATGTTTCTTTTATTTATTTATTTTGCTTTTCTTTTCATACGAAACTTCTTTACTAAAACTCTCTAAAATTTATGCCACCTGGTGAAATAATGAGTCATGCGATTCGGGAATTGCATAGCTGGAATGAGGTTCAGACACTGTCTTAGTGGGCTGTAGAGATAGAGCAGGCGAATGGTATGAGTAAAGGCCATAGTTGGATTGGTCCTGTACCAGGCCGGGTCTCCCCTATCTTTCGTAGCATGCATTTCCATCCGTGTCACACCATCCTAATTTTAATCCCATTTACACTCCCACCCCATCTAGCTAGTCATCTTCCCTAGTTGGATCACACCTAGCCAATTATCCAAAAGTAATCGATCAAGACACTAGATGTGAGGCGATCTTATACTAAACGAAACTACCCACGACGAACGAAACAAGGGAATGAAAGGCCAGTTTGCATTGGGCGGTTGATAGTGCAATTTTTATGGCTGAGGGTAAAGTTGCCTATGGCGCGGTTGTTAAGGACTCTTCTGGCCAATTCTTGTGTGCGTTCTCCTCATGGTTCTTCGGGTATTATTCACCTAACATGGCTGAAGCTATGGCGGTAAGGGAAGCTCTAGTTGGCTTAAACAAGAATACTTCATCCATGTTGATTTGGAGATGGATTGTAGGGAAGTTTGGTTGGGTATTATTTCTAATAATATTCCTAATAATGAGTATGGTAATAACATTCGGGATTGTAAACTTTTGTTCAGTGAAGGCATCGATTTTAAGGCCAAATGGATTGGTTGACAAGATAATATTGTGGCCCATTCCTCTGATGGGTTGCTATCTCTTTGCTTGTCCCACAATTTGAAGGGATCCTCCTCATTTTTTTAAGGGAAAATAATTATTTCGTCCATGAGGTTAAGGGAAAATAATTATTTCGTCCATGAGGTTTGCCATAATTATTTAATTAGTTTCCGACATTTATACAAATATTTATAACATCCCTGAGATTTACTTCTGTCTTATTAATTGGTTCTTTCGTCCAAAAAATACACTTTTTCCGCTAATTTTGAGAGGAAAAGACGAAATTATCCTTCATAAGTTTTCATTATTTCGTCCTTGAGGTTTGCCATAATTATTTAAATAGTCCCTGACATTTATATAAATATTTATAACATCCCTAAAGTTCACTTCTGTCATATTATTTGATCATTCTATCCAAAAAACACATTTTTTACTGTAAATTTTGAATAGAATGACCAAACTACACTAAATCCTTTAATTAACATATCCTCCCTTTCAACTCATTTGCTTTCCTTCTCACTCGCTCACAAAAATGGTATAAACATATTCCATAGAGCTTAAAGCAGAATGAATAACATCTACTTGAGCATCAAACATGTTCATGTACTTAATCTTTATATTTGCATCCAATGCATTACTTTGCTCAATAACCTCAGCAATTAATCCCAGAAAACAGCAACCATATGCAAAATTCTGCCAAAAAGAAGACCAATATAGCAAGCAAAAAATTTTCACAGTTACATATTCTTTACTTTGGTTCACTTGAAACCCGACGACCACCATTAAACAAATGCCCATATTAAAATTTTAAAATTCATAAATTGTAAACTAAAATTTAAGTAATCACCCAGTTGATTATTAAAAACCCAACATTGAACACGCAAGATTAGAAATTTTTAGAAAGTACCAAAATTAGCATTTACCCAAAATTTAGATTAAAATTTCTAAATTTTGGGTAAATTTAGAGGATTTAGGGTAGTTGAAAGGGATGATATGTTAATTAGAGGATTTAGGGCAGTTTGGTCATTCTATTAAAAATTAATAGTAAAAAGTGTGTTTTTTGGACGGAATGATTAAATAATATGACGGAAGTGAACCTCAGGAATGTTATAAATATTTATATAAATGTCAGAGACTACTTAAATAATTATGGCAGACCTCATGACGAAATAATGAAAACTTATAAAGGATAATTTCGTCTTTTCCTTTCAAAATTAACGGAAAAAGTGTATTTTTTGGACAGGACCAATTAATAAGACGGAAGTAAACCTCATGGATGTTATAAATATTTATATAAATATCAGGGACTACTTAAATAATTATGGCAAACCTCAGGGACGAAATAATTATTTTATATAAATATCAGGGACTACTTAAATAATTATGGCAAACCTCAGGGACGAAATAATTATTTTCCCTTTTTTTAATGATGTTTTAGGGTCTGATGTTTCTAATGTGCTAGGTTTTTTAACTTAGCATTGAGATCCTAGGTGTGGGTGGATGGGGTGGACCTATTAGTCTGGGTTAAAATGGATCTTTTTGCTAAATTTTTCCTATTTTTTAATGAAATTATAAGATTCAAAAAAAAAAAAAACTCTCTTAAATTATAGTAATCTAATAATTAAACACCAGATATCTAGTATCTTCTTTTTTTTTTTCTTTTTTTTAAAGAAAACTCTCTTAAATATATTATTTTCTATTAGTTTAATTAAAATATAAATAAATTCTGATTACAAAAATCACTCTCTTTTATAAACTACCTCGTTTTTTTAATATATAATTCATGTATTTGTACTTTATAATTAAGAAAAATATTAAGGTGGATGGGAAATATAATTATGTTATAAAATATTGGTAATTAAATATTTTAATTATAATTTAAAATGGAAAAAAAAATTAAACCACCAATTTGGTAATAGACAATTAGATGGGTGGAAGGTCAGAAGTTCATTAGATGGGATGAAACTCTTTTATATTTGGGAGAAGTACTATTTAGTCATTAAGCTTTGTCAAATTCACTACGTTGTCTCTCTATTTCAAGAATCAATTAAAAAGGTTCCGTAGTTTGTTATCATCCAACTAAAAGTTCTTCTGTCTAAAAAGAGATATTTTTTCCGTGAGTCAACCGAATAAAGTGTATCCAAAGGTGAGAGAATAAAATATAAACCCCAAAATACCCCAAAACAATCTAGAACCTCATCTTCTCTATATTGCCAAAGCCAACTCTTTTTCCCAAACTCTCTCTGCAATTTATTTTCTGTATCTTTATTAATCAATCCCGATCCCAAATCTCTATTGACAATATTTGATGAGCATTAGCGAAGCCATCTGCAAGAAATAAGTGGAAATGAAGCCTAGAAAATAAGGAATATGATGTAAGTGGAGAAAGTAGCTATTTATAGTATTACAATTATTTTTCCAAATTCAAAATTATGAACAAAATTACTATCCTTGCATAAATTAATCCAAAGGAATGTTGAACCCAAAACAAAGGCCTTACATAAATAAAATCCCCATCCTAAATTCCTAATCCCACTCCTGAAAAATCCAAATTTCAACTTGGGTTTAACAAAATCACCTTATCTGCATAACCCCTTACCTTATACTTCAATTCAATTAAATTCAATGTAATAAGAGAATTGTCATTTGAAAACATATCAATAAGTGAAACATACATCACTGAATTTCAATGGCGAAGTCAGAAACTTTGGCTAGTGGAGTCAATTTCATTCAAGATTAATATAATATTTATAATCTTAAAAAAATTTCAATTATCCTCGACGAGTTTTCATATTTTGAAAGCGTTGAATAATCATTTCATTATCTATACTATCAAATACATCTTTATCAATGTAAGTAACTAGACAATCATTCATCAATTGCTAAACCATTTTATTACGTAATCGATTCTTCACAATCTTCATTGAGGAAAATGCCATTTCCACACTTGTAGTTATAACTGGAAAAGTCAATGCTAATTTGATAAGCAAGTAGACTAGAGGATAAACAAGTTGTTTTTCTTTTTGTCTCAACCAATTTCTTAGCAAGATCACCAATTCCTTTAATATCTACAAAATTATCACTAGTTCGCACATCCATGATATAAGTTTCAAGTTGATTATCAAGAGCCATAAGTTCCACATCAGAAAATTTCAATGGATAAAAATGAGAAAGAC